AAAAAAAAAATGTAGGGGCAGAATAAACAAGCGGATGTTTAGTTTTTATCGAAGAATAAACATTCGTTTGCACGTGTAGGAAACTTCTAGAAAGATAACGTAAGACATTTGTGAGTACGTAACTTTGAAGAGAATGACTTAGAAACTGAGACAGGGAAGGGGAAGTTTACTGATGTTCCCATGAACGCTTGGTTTTCTCATGAACATGTGTGATTTTTACCATAATAATTATACCGATCGTATTAAAGACCCATCATTTAATTATAGGCAAAACTTGGCCCTTAGGGGATTGATTACACTTCTCTGGAGAACAGTTTTCTAGAGATTCAAAGCTACTCGAAAGAACCATCTTCAACCGCTATTTCTTGTTGTAGATGTCAGAACGGGTGCAGGCACCGATTCCTAAAGGAGGCGGCCGGGTGACGCCGTGATGTGCCGAGCGGGACCAGGGTCCTGGTAGGGAAACCCACCGCTCGCCCAGCCAGGCTTCCCCAGCCCGAAGACAAGCTCAGTATTACCGAGTTTCTCTAATACTTCAGACAGTTCTTACTTTTTAGTTATGTGTGCCCAATCACGAACGTGTGAGCCCGACGGACCCCCAAAGACACTTTGGCCAGGGGCTGACATATTACCCATGCTGGGCCTGTTTTTGCAAACAAAGTTTTACTGGCACGTAGCCACGCCCACTGGTTTACAGAGCATCCAAAGCTGCTTTCCGGCCATAATGACAGAGCCGAGTCTTTGCGACAGAGACCCACTGGCCTGCAAAGCCTAAGACACTTACTATCTGGCTCTTCATAAAACGTTTGTTGGGGCACCTGGGTGGCTCAGTGGGTTAAGCACCGGACTCTCAGGTCACGATCTCAGGGTTTGTGGGATCGAGCCCCACGTTGGGCTCTGTGCTGACAGCACGGAGCCTGCTTGGGAGTTTTTCTCTCTCCCTCTCTCTCTCTCTGCCCCTCCTCTGCTCCTGCTTTCTCTCTCTCAAAATAAACAAACATTAAAAAAAAGAAGTTTGTTGACCCCTCTTAGGCCAAGTGGTCACGTTTAATTAGCACAGTATCGGATTTCACCTTTGGTTTCTTTTTGCTGCAGTCTTAATGGAAATTCAAAAACTAACATAAAGGATGGTGAATAAAAGATCAAATTATACAACAGATTGTATGTGGGTGCTTTTAATAGTTTAAAAAAAATTCATTCAATCTGTTAAAATGTACAAGACGCTCTGATCAATAAACACAAAAAAACCCTCTGCTGAATTGATAACAGCTGCTATTTAAAGAAACTGTGTGGGCAGGTGCTTTTGGGGAGGGAGACGCTGACTCTTCCAGGGCGGGCTTTGTCAGCGTCCAGCTTCACAAATGCTCAGCGGTGCCCAGCAGGGGGCGCGCGGCCATGGCAATCGGAGAACAAGGCTAGGCCGGCCCCACGCAGCACTGAGGACCCAGGACCAAGACTGAAACCTCAAGGGGAAAGTAAGGCTGTGCCTGCTGCAGGCCTGCAGAGTTCGGACCGCCTGTTTGTGAGTCACCACGTGTCTGCTGTGCACCCCACCCCCACAACTCTAGCAGAGGGGGGCTCCGCGCCCGCTTTCCCAACTTCCTGCAGAGGCAGGGCTCGGAGCCCCAAGGACCTGCTTGGGTCCCTCCCCCAGTGCTGCACCTCCAGCTCCTGTCCAGGAAGGGCGCTCTTGAGAAAGGGGACATCCCTGGCCCCCTGATCTCTGCCAGGACCGTGAAAGCGGGCCTGGGACTCGGCCAGGCGCCTCTGCCCTGAGGATGGGCTGCCCCTGTCCTCCGCGCTGCCCCCAGAGAGGGCAGGGCCCGGGATGAGAGCTGCCACCACACAGGCCGGAGCCCAGGTACGAGATCCCGATCCGAAAGCACGACAGTCCGACAGCCCACCGAGTGTGCCACAGGAGGGGGTGGGTCGGGGCCAGCCGGCGGGCGGCAGCACTCAGCCCCAGCTACTGGGGCCCAAGTGCGCACAGCTGCACCCCAGGCGCACCAACACAAGGGCGCGCGCAGCACCGCAGGGGGCCTTGTGTGGGAAAAGGGGGCCCGCCCGAGGAGGGCCATGGGCTGTGGCACTTCAGAGAGACACGCAGGGCCGAGAGCGCACACAAGGGTGGGGACACGAGCAGGTGGGCTCAGCTGAGAGCCTCTGGGAGAGGGGAGCTCCCTGTCCCCAGGGGGCTCTGCTCAGCCCTCCCCGGGTACTCCCCAGGGGCCTCCCACAGGCCGGGTGGCAGGCCGGTCCTGGCGGGGCAGAGGGAGGCCCTGCGCCTGGGCGGACACTCTGGGGGGACGCTGGCGCTGGGAGAGGGTGGGGGATAATCCGTCTGGGTCCTACGCCCGCCTTCCCTGAACAACGAGAGCTGCTCTTTCTGGGGTACTGCGTGTGTCCCAGGCTGAGCGCAAAGCACTTGATAGCTTGCCAATCTGCATCTGAGCAGGAAGGCCATCATCCCCACGTGAGACACAAGGAAACGAGGCGCAGGAGGTGACGCGGCTGGCTCAAGGCCCCCCTGTGGAGGCCGAGCCAGTGTCTCGGCCCAGACTGTGGGCCCGGCCCGGCCCTCCAGCCCCTGAGCACGCCCAAGGCTCCAGGAAGGTTGGAAGGACAGGCTACAGCTCCCGACTTGACAGGAACAGAGCTTCTGGAACTTTGAGTCAGGAAGTGTTTCTGGGTGGTATCCCAACTTAGAGACGGCACTCATGGACACTGGGAGGCCACGCGATTCTACCTAGAATGTTGATGGCATCCAAACCCAGACTCCTGTGCCCATCCCACCAAGCCCCCGACTCGAGACTGCTGCCCCCAGCCCTGCCTCCCCCCCCCACCACATCTTCATTTAGAAGCGGGACCCTGGAGAGGTGGTGATGCCCTAAGATGGGGCAGGGGGGAGGGGGAGCAGTGGGCACGCTTGTGTGCTCGCGCCCCAACTCAACGTCCAAAGCGGGGAACAAAAAGAGGAAACGGAACAGTCAACAAACTAGGAATAGAAAAGCATTTCTTCAATCTGATAAAAGGCATTTACGACCAGCCCAAAGCTCCCAGCACACTCCGTTGAAAGCCGGAAAGCCTCCCCTCTAAGGTCAGCACCAAGGCAGGGATGCCTGCTCCCACCACTTCTATTCAACACAACAATTAGGCCAAGAAAAAGAAATAAAAGGCACCCAAATTGGAAAAGAAGGAAAACTGTATCAGCAGATGGCATTATGGTATCACGTATATAAAAATTCCTAGTGAAGACACAAAACTATTAAAGCTAACAAACAGCGTGGCTCAGTCGGTTAAACATCCCACTCTTGATTTCACCTCAGGTTACGATCTCACGATTCACGGGTTCCAGCCCTGCATCAGGCTCTGTGCTGACAGTGTGGAGCCTGCTGGGGATCCTCTCTCTCCCTCTCTCTCTCTGCCTCTCCCCCACCTGCATGTTCTCTCTCAAAAACTAAATCAGCTTTTAAAAATAGATAAAAAATAAAGCTAATAAACAGATTCAGCTCTGTTGAATCGAGCTCTGCGTCGGGCTCTGGCCTGACATCCCAGAGCCTGGAGCCTGCTTTGGATTCTGTGTCTCCCTCTCTCTGCCCCTCCCCAGCCCGTGCTCTGTTTCGCTCTGTCTCTCAAAAATAAATAAATGTTAGAAAAAAAATTTTTAAACAAAACGAAACAAAAACCACCAAATGCTGGGGACGAGGTGAAGTGCTCAGCCGGCAAGAATGTAAAACGGTGCAGCTGCTGTGGAACAGTTTGGCAGCTCCTTAAAAAGTTAAACATAGAGTCTCCGTATGACTCAGCAATTCCACTCCTTGGTATAGACCCCAAAGAACTGAAATCGGGGACTCAAATCAATTCCTGCACATGCCCGTTCACAGCAGCGTCACTCACAATCCCCTAAAAGAAAACAACCCAGATGTCCACTAACGGGGGAAGGGATACAGCAAATGCAGTCCGTCCACACAAAGGAGTATGACTCAGCCATAACGAGGAACGAGGGCTGGGCGCATGTCATGACGTGGATGAACCTCGGGGACATCACGCTGAGTGGAAGCCAGACACTAAAGACCACGTGACATGTGATTTCCTTTACCCGAAACGTCCAGAATAGGTCAATCTACAGGGACAGAAAGCAGCCTGGCGGGTGCCGGGGGCTGGGCGAGGAGAAGCGGGGAGTGCCTGCGCCCAGGGGCCAGGGTCTCCTTCGGGGTGATGAAAATGCTCTGGAACTGGACAGAAGTGCTGGTTGAATAATACTGTGAACCAAATGCCACTGAACCGAATGCTTCAAAATGGTGTATTTCACGTTACGTGAATTTCACTTCAAGTTTTAAAAAGCCTTACATTCACAGAAAATAAAATGAAAAGGATGTGGCAAGGGCAGCCCGGCGGGCCTCAGGCCACGGCAGGGGGGGAAAGGCCGAGGATGCGGTCTGCGTGCCTGCCCTCCGCTCCCAAGCCCCTCCTCGCCCTCTGTGCCCCCCGTTCCCCACGCTGCCTTGGACCGCCCCCACCTGCACCTGCCTATAGGGCACCGGTTGCAGGCAGGTCTCCACAGCAGGACCTGCCCCAGCAGGATGTGGACGTGAGACTGAACGGGGGGCCCATGGGTGTCTGCACGCTGTGTGGCTTCTGGGGGAAGCCAGTGTGTCCCGGGCGGGGGTGGGAGTGGGGGTGGGGGAGCGGGTAAGGCTGGCCTGGTCTTCAGGGCTGCCCTGAGAAACAGGGTCCCGGCTGAGAAGAAGGTGGCCCTCGGGTCACAGTGGACACTCTGTACTCACCAGGGAGCGCTTGGCTTCAGGCAGGAACTGTCCAAACTCGGACAGCAGGTCCTCCTGGCCCCGGAAGAGATTGGCCACCTCGGTGAACACCTCCTCCTCGGACATGCCTCGGAATGGCCGGCCCTTCGTGCTCAGCTGCTCCTTCTGCCGATTTTCGGGAAAGGGAAAAGGAGTCGTTAGCCAAGGAACGAGGCACCCCAGGCTGTGACATTCAGGCATCCCGCTGTGGAGGAGACAGAGGGATGACTCACGAAACAGAGAACTAACCGGCCGATTGAGCCCGTGACCGCCACCACCAGGAGACAGGAGTGCGGCCTGCCATCCGCTGACACCCCAGGGTGCCCCGCGCTGGGCCCCCTCGCTCTGGAGAATAGCTCTGCACGCTTTTGTCCTGGTCCCACCGCACGACACAGCCAGAGCCCTGGCCAGGGATGGGGCTTGTGTAGGAGTGTGGACGGAATGAGAGCGGGGCACAGTCGTGCCATCAACGATTTGGCCTCCACCCTTGCGTGTCCTCAACCAGAGGCTGGGGAAGTACAAGGTGAGTGATGAGCCCGCTCCCCTCCCAAGGGCGAAGCGGCGTGTTCTGCCGCGCAGGGGGGAGGGGAGCGCGGAGCTAAGGCCGGACCTTGAAGGGAAGGGACTACCAGGATGAGGGGTCTGTCCACCCGGAGTCACAAAGACCCCAATGGTTGAAGGAAGACGGCCCGACCTGGAGCTTAAAGCGACAAGATGAAGACTGGAGGGGACCCAGGTCGGGAGGGGCGGAAACAGCAAGCAGAACTCAGGACGGCCATTAGAAATAAGTCCCTGTCAACTTTATCCCCAAGGATGTGACAGAACAAAGGTGGCGGTGCTGGGGCTCCCCTAGAGTGCACAGCATGACATTCCTGCTCCGTGGCTCTAAGGGGAGTGAGCCCTCCCATCAAGTGGCCTTGACATTTCCCTCCCAGCCCTCAGGTCCCCTGAAGCCCTCTATGTGATCTGACCCCTGTGACTACGCTCCACAGACCTTCCTGGCTTCGAGACAGTCCACCCTTCGTCTACACTCAGCTGCCTGATGGTTCTGACTGGTGTGTCAAATTCAACCTGAATCTCCCCCTCCTGACCCCTACTACCCCCCCACCCCCGTCCAGGGTTGGCAACCATGAACCCCAGGCCTCCTCCCACACACTTCTTTTTTTTCTCCACCCCGCAGAGCTCTAAGTTTCTCCTTCCAGACGGAACCAAGCAGCAACCACTTATCTCTGTCGCCCCAGGCCGTGCACAGAACTTGCTGGCAATTAGCATAAATAAAGGGTAGCTGTGTTGTCAAAACAATCGCGAAGCTTTCTTATAAAAAGAAGACCAGCTTCTTAGGTCCTTTTTAAATCCCTGTTATTAGGTGCTTCCTAGTACTTCTTGGATGCAGAGGTGCCTCAAAGAGCACGTTAAAATCCTAACGAGGGGCGCCTGGCTGGCTCAGTCAGTAGAGCACATGACTCTTGACCTCGGGGTTCTGAATTCAAGTTCTATGTTGGGTGCAGAGATTACCTAAAATCTTGAGAAAAATTAAAAATCAAATCAAATTGTAACTAAACAGGACTCCGACAGGTACTGGTATGCCCATGTTCACAGCAGTATCATATTCACAACAGCCAAAACACGGGAGCAGGCCAAGTGGCCATCAATGGACGGATGGATAAACACAACTGGGGTGTCAAGGCCACGAAACAGTCTTCGGCCTGAAAAAGGAAGGAGATTCTGACATAGGCTACAACGTGGACAGACCTTTAGGACATCATGGTGAATGAAAGAAGCTGGACACCAAAGGACAAATACTGTTATGATCCCACTTATGACAGGAGGTCCCTGGAGTCGTCAAATTCAGAGAGACAGACAGCAGGATGGTGGGAGCCAGGGGCTGGGGGAGTTCGTGTTTAATGGGGACAGAGTCTCAGTTTTGCAAGATGAAAAGGGTTCTGGGAATGGAGGGGGGTAATGGCTGCACAGTTAATGCCACTGAACTGGACACTTAGAAAAGGTTAAAGTGGGGGGTTTTAGGTTACGTATACTGTATCGCAGTTAAAAAAAAAAAAAAAAAAAAAAAAAAAAAAAAAAGCCGATCAGAATTTTACAGGGTTTGACGAATTCAGACCAGACAACGTGAACACCTTGGATGCGGCGCCATGAACGCCGGTGAAGTGTGACTGGAGGCCACTCACCTGGTAAGTGTGCAAGATCTCCAAGAACGATCTATAGATCTCCGGGTGGTCTAGAAAACGGGTCTTAATCTTGTTCACGTAGCTGATGGCGTTGTTGAACTCCACGGAATCTGACTCCAAGGGCACCTGGGCTTTGTCCTCCTTGTACAGCATCTGCTGCTTGAAGTTCTCCGTGCAGTCGCTGTGGTTGTGCGAATTCTCCTGCGAACAGCACGACCCGAGTTACCGGCGGTCCTGACGCCGGGAACAGGGGTGAGGAACGCCGGGCAGAGCCACTGCCTGCGCCAAGAGCAAGCACAAAACCCAGCGCGGAGCCAAGGTTTTTAACGAGATGCAGGGAAACGTTCCTTTGGGGGGAGCAAAGGAGGGGGGGCCCCGCTGCACGGAACGTGCAGGTAACTCCTCCCTCACCACTCTGTGCGTCTGCCTGGTGCCCGGTGAGTCTCCTGAACTCGCCTCCGTCTCACCAAAGAACACAGAAGTTTGATGGACAACCGGACACCTTGAAAAGCGAGCGTTCGGGAGAAAGGCACGAGAAGTGCACAGTGTAATCCCCTTCGGAGTGGAGTTTGGGGCTGTTTGTAGAATCTCCCCACGCTTTCAAGCCAGCCCACTGCAGCGAGAGTGTCCTGAGGTGTGAAAGCACCCGCTGTCAGCGGTGCCGGCAAAGTTGGGGCCCCGCCGCCCACGCCGTCCAGGACTGTGGGACTTCGGGTGCTAAGCCCGGGGCGCGTCACCCGGGAGAGGAGACGGGCCCTGGCCAGTCGTCATGCCTGCCCTCCGTCTGTGTGCTTTCCTGTCCGTACAAAGATGAAAAAGAAAACAGACACACACGTCTCTCTCCCGGGCGCCCAGAATCCTAACTTGCGGCAGGGCAGGACCACGCCCATGAAGAAGGGGATGCTGAGGTTTCTAAACTGAAATTTCATGCGCGGTTCTGAGGATGCCCCACAAACCCTGACTGGGCTTTCAGGGGCGACCCCCTGGCATCCTGCAGGTCCCCCGTGCACAGAGCTGGTTCTCCAGCAGGTTGGGATCCCTCCAGCTCCGCTTCAGGTATCTGTGAGGACACGTTCTTGGTGAGTCTTCCGGAACCGCCCCACGCCAAACTCGAATGGCCTTGTCTCCCAGCATTCCAAGCCCCTTTCTTGCTCGGTTTTCCTCCACAGCACTTGTCACCTTCCCACACATAACATATTGTACTCATTTCGTTGTCTGTTCACCCCCGACCAGACGGCAAACGCCCCGAGGGCAGAGATGCCACTTTGTTCGCTGCCGTATCCCAAGTGCCTGGAACAGTGCCTGGAACAGAGCCGGCCTCATCCACTGCTGGGAATCTTCAGATGACCAGAAAGAGCAGACTGAGCCGCTGTTCCCATCCCCCTCGGCGGGCGGTGATATCAGCACGTGGCACCAAGCACGGACCCGGAGACTCTGCAGGATGGTGAGTGCCGGGCACACAGCTGTCATCATGATGGGTACACCCGTCGGGCACACTCGCTGTCCTCTTGGACGGGTGTGCTATGCCACTCAGGCCGCCGTAACAAAACACCACAAGACTGGGCCGCTGACACAACAGAAATTTATTTCCTCACGGTTCTGGAGGCTGGAGTCCAAGATCAAGGTGTTGGCAGGGTCGGTATCTCTGGAGGCATGTTGGGCTTGCAGGCGGTCGTCTTCTCACTGTGTTCTCACATCGCTGACCGTCTCTGTGGGTCCCTCCGTGTGTCCAAATTTCCTC